GGTAGCGGCACGCGCCAGCCTCTCTCCCGGGCTTGTCGTCCCCTGCCACGCGCAGCGACCGTGCCCAGCTCAGCCGCAGCGCGGTGCCCAGAGCCCCAGGACCCGCAGCGGCTGTCCTAGGGTTCGGAGCCCGCTAGCCTGAGGCGCAGCACGGAGTGGGGGGCCCCTGGGAGGCGGGGCCTCCGTTCCGAGGCGGGCGGGCTGAGTCCTGCCACTGCGCTGTTTGTGCCGTTATTGCTCTGGTCCCCAGAGTTTACCGGCTGCTGCCTGGGGGCGAAGCTCTGCTCTTCGCGTTGGCGGCGGCGGCGGCGGGAGCACTCAGCCCCAGGAAACCAGACGCGACTCGCTCCCCAGGCGATAAACAGAATGAGAGAACCTAAATTCTCTGTTATAGCTTTATATAAAGCTGCACGAGGCAGTCCAGGCCCTTGTCAGACTCACGAGGGAGGATGTGGAGGAGCACGTGGGGGAGGGGAGGAAGCTGAAGGCAACAGATGTCGAAGTGGCTGAGAGGGGAGTCCCACAGCTACAGGAGCACCCAGGGCCTGAACTCTGGTGCCAGTCCCCATGATCTGTCCCATAGTCCTGGTCCTCTGGGTTCCTGCCCCTCATATGGAAAATGGCAATGGGTTCCAGCCTCCCAGCTTGCTCTCTGGGCCAGAGCTGCGTTGCCTGGGTGCCTCTCTGGTCCCCATGCTCCCTTACGGCTCTTCTAAAGGCTCATTCAATATACCAGGAAAACTTCATTGATTTTCTCCTATGTGCTAGACAGGGTGCTGGGGTGCTAGCTGGTGGAGGGGAATGGGCTCTGAGGGTCGTGGGGGGTGGGCAGAGGAGGTGATAAGTACCAGATGGCAAGGTGGACCTTGGAGACCTGGCTGCTGGGGGCCTGCCGTCCGTCCCTGGGTGCCCATGTCTAAGGTGTCCCCACAGTGCCCCCGCCCCACCCGGCTTGGCCCAAAACATTCCCAGTGATGAATCAACAGGAAAGAATGCTCCCAGCCTCGGGTCAGTGGTAGCAGCAGCAGTCCAACTCCTCCCCTGAGGACAGTGAGGCAGCTGTGGATTGGGGTGCCAGGTATTCCAGGACCCCTCCCCGTACCCAGCCACCTCTCATGCTGAGCCAGGAGCAACACGGAGGGCTGCTGCCAGTCACCCACCCAGGTCCGGCCGCCCAGAACTAAAAATACCCTGGAGCCCAGGAGTTGGCACCAGGTAGAACCCAGGGGATGAATGGATTTTGCCCCGAACTCCTTTAACTTGGAAGACTGCGAGGTAGCCAAGGCTAGGGTGCGGTGAGGAAATCTCCAAAGGATCTGCTGTGAGCCCTCTGCTTTGGGAAGCAAGGGCTTGGCGCTGGGCCCAGCTGCATGACTTAGAGGCTGGATATTCTCAGTCCCCATCTCCTCGGCCTTTGGTGTTGTGGTGGGTTAGGGGTTCACACAGAGCAGCTCAGTTCATCTCAGCCAGCTTTGATGGGGAGTTCCATTTCCTTCCTGTGCAGACCAAGCGTACAAGGCTTCTCTGCCCGGTACCAGTGACCTTCTGCTGTGCCCTTCATGTGCAGCTCTATGTCCCTTGACCTCCTTATGTATCCTAAACCCAGATTCCCTCACAGGGCCCAACACACAGAAAGCAGTAAGTGCTCATGGATTGACTAAATGGGCCTAGAGTGTGCTGGTCCCTGGGCTGGTCCTGAGGAGGCACAGACAAGCCAGATGTAATTCTGTCCTTCCTCAAGGAGTTTGCAGACTAAAGGGGAGACAACCACAGCCACCATCAGGAGAAGGCATGTGGCCTTCGTCAGGCAAGTACAGAGTGCTCCCTCTGTGGGTTCTCTCACTCAGTCCTCACAAAACCCCCCTTAGATCACAGATGATGAAATAGGTGCACAGGGGTGAAGAAATATGACCGAAGTCACGCAGCTCTGATCTGTAGAGGGTGGCATTTACAGACTGGAGCAGAGGCACAGGGCTGAGAGGGTGCAGAGAGGTAGGAGGACAGGATCCAGGGCTTTGCCGTGGAAGTGCCGGGAGCCTGAAAGATGCATCTGATGCCCAGGGCAGGGAGTGGGAGGCGGGTGGTGGTCAGGAGCAATGCTTTGGAATCCCCAGGGCACTGAGTCAGTGTCAGGAATGATCTTAGCTCCCCTCCCCCTTCAGCTGGGCCCCAGAGACCTAAGCTCTGAGCACCACCATCCATCGGGCCCTGTCCAGGGAGAGGTGCTAACATGAATCTCTTCATCACAGAGTACCTTTCAACCTCACCTATATCAGGGCCTGTGTTTTCTTTCTAAGTGGCAAGGCTAGAACATCCTGCAGAAACCTCTCCTGCGGTGGACCTGAGAGAATAGCCTGTGCCTTGGCCTCCTCAGCAGCCATGAAGGAAGGCCACTTGAGGCTACCTCCTTTGAGATTCCTGCAGAGGAGATCGTTTGGTTTGGATGGCAGGTGTCTTGAGTTCCAGCTCTCACTGAATCTTGGGGCCTCAGGCAAGTCATAGCAAGCCAAGGTGTAGCCATGCATCTGTTCTCCTGCCTTCACACCCCTGCCCTTCTGATACCTGGTGCCTTAGGCCGGAGCTGTGCTAACAGGCTTGAAACGCCTCTCCTAGATGGCTTTCTTCCCTGACTTGCTGTGTCTGGTTTATTTAGACCCTGAACCGACTGATCTTCTTAAAGTGTGGCCATGCCCTAATTCAACAGTTTAATAGGTCAGTGTTGCACGTGGGGTAGGGAGAACCCAACACTGCTTCTCCTGTTGCCTCTACTCAGAGCTCCTTTTTCTGTTCTGACTTAATTTTCCATATTCTTTTTACCCTGGCCTAAGATTCCTTCCACTTCCATGAAAGCTTCTTGAACGAATGCTCACCAAATGAAAGGTACTAGAAGAGTCACAGAACTAACCCAGACCTAACCTTTACTTCCAGGAGCTCACCGTCTGCTGGGAGGGCTGGCTCCAAGATGCATACAGTTGTGTGGAGGTAGACTTGCCAACCGAAAGGGAGATGAAGCGGGGCACGAACTATTGGGGGCAAAATGAGCGTTTCTTTTGTGGAGAACTGTTCAGCTGGGCAGGGGTTTCATCAGATGGGCTGCGAGCTGAGGGGACTCAGCGATGTAGTGGAGGAGGGCAGAGTGAGGCAGAAGGGCCTAGCAGGGCAGCAAGGCTGGCCCCAGAGGTGGCTCCTGAGGAGAAAAGATGGGGGTCTGGCTGTAGAAAGGAGAGGAAATTTGGGACAGAGCGGTGGTTACGTAAAAGTTTCAACAAGTTTTGTTTTGTGATAGGTAACGTCACCTTCTTCCCTCTTCCTCTGGGAAAACTTTAGAGGAATCTCCACTACTCAGTTGTGCTTGGAGTTGGAGAGTCCCACCCAACAGTTGCGGGGCACAGAGCAAAGACAGAGGGCCCAGTACCATACATAGGACTGATTATTTAAGTCATAAGCAAGACTCACTTGCTATTAAGCAAAGCATGGTCTATCTGCCTACCGTGGGAAAGACTTGGAAGGTCAAGTTTGAACCAAGCAATTTCCATTCTTTGGAATTCTACATGGAACAAGTCACTATGGGAACACTTTTCCCAGCCTCACTCCCCCATGTGGCCCTCTGCTCTGCACCACACAGCAAGGGGCCTCCTGCACCTGTGCCCACAAGCCTGCTCTGGGCGGGGCTCTAGGGATCAGACTGAAGACAGCCCTCTTCTCTTGGGCAAGGAGTCCTAGAGCATGGGTTAGGCAGTGGAGTGGGGGTTCAGAGGGGACATCCCCATTCCCCTGTAGCTCCTTGCTCTGGGACAGGGCCATGGTGATGCACGCTGAGACATGGAGGACCAGAATAGGGACTGGGTGCCCAGGCCTATGGGCAGATGGAAGGTTGGATCGTGCATATAGAGGGCAGGAATGTGTGTCACAAAGTAGGGTTGTAGCTTAGAGGTGGGTTCCGGAGAACAGTGGGGGGTGCCAAATTATTCGGCTTCCTTAGGGTCCCACAGACTCCTTTGGGACTGAACGAGGGGAAGGGCTGCCTCCAGGGACAGGGTGAATTGACCTTTGATCTGGAGTTAAATTGAAGATGTCAGGTTGAAGAGAGAAAGCCAGAAGCCCAGAACACAGGATGTGGACAGGAGCAGCCTCTACTTGGAGCGGGGTGCTGCCTTGCCCTGGGAGGGGGGAGGCAGAAGCATTCGAGGACGGCAGGGTGGGTTCCAGTCAGGCTGCAGGAGCTGCTCTTCTGGGCAGTGTCTGGAGCTGGGCTTGAACTCTTCATAGCCATGCCTTTCCTTGGTGGAGGGACTAGCAAGTAGGATAGAGAAAGGGCACAGGGAGAAGGGTATGAAATTGCAAGCTGCTAAAAATAGGGAACAGGTCCAAATCCCCCTAGTTTTACTTCCACCTTCACAAATGGAATTCTAGCCCCAAATCCTGAATTATCTCAGATGTTCAGCCTTTGATTTGGTACCAGGAGCTTAATGCTCCTGCCTTCCAGAGCCCCGCACCCCCAGGGAAGATGCATGCTCTCACACCCTGCACCTGCTTTCCTGTTTTACTCTGCCTGGCCTGAGGAAGGTTGCAGTCACCATCGCCAACACTCCCTTTTTGGTAGTGGTAGTCGCTGCCTCCTTCCCCTCCCGCTCCAGGCCCCTTGCTGCCGCAGCTTTCCCCTCTTTTCTTCTCCCCCCCTTAGCCACACACCCTCTTAAGCTCCCCTCCAGCTCTTCCCCAGTTTCCTTAGTGATTTTCCCCCTTCATTCCTCTCTGCTCCCCAGTGCCACCTGCAAATCCAGCTCCCCCTCATGTCCCTGCACTTAAACACAGGCACAGCGCC